CAGATTGTAGACATTTGGTCCACCTCTTCTGCCGCAGAGGCTTGCAGATGTGGTCCGCAGACTGCAGACATTTTGACTTCAAAAAAAGATATTTTTTTTATATTCATACATAAACACATTTAAATTTTTTCTAGCCCTCGCCTTAAAATATTTATGGATCCTCCCCATTATAGAACCAACACCGACCTAATCACTTAAGTTATACATGAAAGGGTTTTCTAGTTTCTATATAAAGAAAAACCTAAATTAAGCTGAAAATAAATCTTTTTTAAAACTCAAAAACTAAATTGTTTGTTTTTTAGTGAGTGATAAAAAAATAAAGAAGGCTCTGATATCAATAAATGTGTGATTGTAATGTTTTTATTTTGTCCCATCTATTTTTATCAAGCTGAAAGATTAAACTGGTATCAGAGCCTTGATAAAAATGGCATTACATTATAATAAAACACTTTACAGTGTAATTTTTGAAGATATTCATAATAAAGAAATTGAAATTTCTCAACATAAAGAAATACTTTTCAATAATAAAAAAGATTTAGTGCATATAAATTTCAGAATTCTACAAGCACAAAATAAACATACTCACGAATATATACCAAACTTGGTTAGTATACGTAAGTATCTCCTACATGAGCAAAAATTTCATCAAGAACATCTTGATAGAAATAAAAAATTAGTTTCAGAACTCAGAAAATTTATTTTAACTTATTAAAATTTTCTTAAAATGAATAAAGAAATTTTCAACAACACTGAAGAAAATAATTCAGAAGAAAAACAAATCTTAACTTATGTTGAAGATGAAGATGGCTTTCATGCAAATCTTTTAATAAAACAAGACCTTCTCTCTCGAGTTAAGAAAATAGATTTAAAAATAAAGAAAGAAAACATTTTCAAAAATGTTCCTTCTAAACTTAGTATTTTAAATCCTCTTAAAAGGAAAAATGAAATCTTCTACTTTGTTAGTACTAAAGAAATGTCAGTAGACATAAAAGATACAATAGGAGCTGTCTTTCTACCCCTTTTAACTAAGGAACAAATAAACAATAACTTAAAAAGTATTCCAGTTGAGATTAGATCAAAAATTAGAATGGTCCATATCGGAGCTGTAAAAATTTTGCTAAAATCCCAATTCCAAGCAGGAATAAATTCTCCCATAAAAATGGCCTTAATTGACAATAGAATTACTGACAGACAGGACTGCATCTTAGGTGCTGCAAAGGGAAACCTTGCTTACCAAAAGTGTATGTTTTCAGTCTATCTAAAGTTTGCTCTGGATTTAAAATCTGCAAATATAGATAAAACCTTATCTTTTATACATCACTTTGAAAGAAGTAACCTTATGAGTCCAGGTGATAAACCATTCACCATAACATATCTTATAGGATATGCCCTGACCAACAGTCACCATAGCATAGACTATAAGAAAGACGAGTACATCGAACTTGATGATGTCTTTTCAGAAATAGGCCATGTCAAAGATAAACAATTCTGCGACATAAATCCTCAAGAAAACTCTTGGGTTTTAAATATAGCTAGAAATAAAAAAGCTCTAGGAGAAACTCTTAGACCAAGAATTTCTATCGATTCACTCCACATAGGAGAAAGCTCGGAAAGAAAAGATAATAATTTAATAAGAAACATGTCTTTAAAAATTGATAGTCTACGCCAGAATATCAAACAAATCACTGACATTATAAATGAATAATAAAATTGATTTTCCTCATTTCTATAAAAAAGGTAAAACAGTCAAAATTAAAACTCTTGACGATAATACTGAAAAGAAAGAATACGTTTTCTCTACTTCAGGAAAAGCCGGTATTCAAACAATTGTAAATCATTGCAATAATCTCAACCAGATCATTGCAAGATGCCTCTTAAAAACTTCAAAAATAAGCCATTATCTTGGTATTTCAAAAGATATTTCTGAAGATATTTCAAAAAATAAAATACCTTTTAACCAATTTAAAAACGATTTAGCCTTTATGGTTAAAAACAATCTTGATAAAAAAGATTTGGAAAAATTCTTGGAAGTTATTGAAAGACAAAATAAATTAACTATCAAGTTAACCCAGTCTATTGACAAACATTCTATTCTTTTAGAAAACTCTTTAAAAAACAACCAATTTGTTGAAGAAGTCGCCAAAAAGGCAAATATTGAGGGCACTCTTAAGGAAATCAACCTTAAGATCACTAATATACATGATCAGTTAAAACAACTAATAGGATGACCTCGATACCCGAGCTGAATAGATCAACCACCTCGATACCCGAGCTCAATAGATCAATCAACCTCCTTAATGAAAAAATAGATGGTCTGATTATAAACTTGGACTTAATAGTCAATAAATACGTAACCATTGCCCAGTTGGAAGTAGCATCTGCAAAAATTATTGCAGACATTATTAAGGAGTTATCTGAAAAGATTGACTCTTGCCCTTGTAATAAAGACATTCTTGAGCACATCAAAAATATCTCCATCATAGAACAAAAATCCAAGCCAGGAAAATATTCAGGTCTTAAGAAATACTCACCTCCCAATCCTAGTGTTGGAAACCCTGACTTAGGAAGCTCAAAAAATTCCCAGAAAATTGACATTTTCAGGAAAGAGTAAAAATGAAAGAAACAATCTCTGAGAAACTCGAGAAATATTTCTTTAACCTTCAATTTGAAGATTATGATAAAGCTGACCAAAAACTTATTCAACTTTTATCATTAGAAACTGAAGAATGTGAAAAATTGTATCAAAAAGAACCCAAACTTTTTGATCAATATTTTAGAATGACTAAAATAAATGAACCTGACACTGAATCAGAAGAAGAAGATAACTTTAAAACAAATACAAAGACTGTTAAGTTCGAATATTCGGATATGGAAGATGATGAAGCAGAATCTTCTTATACAGCTACAAGAAGAGGCAATAAAAAGAAATATGAGTTCAAAATGCCTGTCCACAATGGTATTCCAAATAGTGGTCAAGGATCCAATACGATCAATGTACTCAATATTGATTGTATCCAAGATCTAAAACTCAGAGAAAGAGTTGTAGAAAAATGGGTTACTGAGATTTCACTAATCTTACAGACAAACCCAGATGAATTTGAAAAAGCAAAAAATGTTCTACTACTTTTAGAACACAAAACTGATGGAATTGTACAAAAATTCCTAAGAAACAATAATTGGAATGAAGAAATGCATGGTTCAGATCTTTTTGATAATATCATAAATGTCATATACACTACTTTCTTAGGTCTTGATTATATTTCTAATAAAGACTACACCATTAATAAGAAAGTTGACATAGCAAGAGTTTCAATGACAAAACTCCAATTACATGATATTAGTCTTCTCGACAAATACACTTGTATGTATGAATCATATCTATATGATATTCCACAAAGAAGTGAATATGCACAATGGATATCTACTTACCTCATGAAGATTCCAATTATTGGAGAAACCTGTACAGACAGATGGAAAAAAGAAGTTACTGGAGAAATCCAGCAAACCAGTCTTTCTTATGCAACAAAAATTGCAAAAGAAGAAATTGATAGAATCTGTCAAGACAGATATAAACAACAAAAACTTAAAACAATAAGCAAAGATTGTTGTAGCATTCTCTCTGATTTCAAAAACTTTGATATTGGAAAGAAAAATTATAATAAGAAAAAGTATAAAAAAAAAATAAATTCAAATCTTTTTGGAAAAAGAAAAGAAGAAAATTTTCTCCAGGAAAATACTTCAAAAAACCTTCAAAAGAAACACCTAAGAAGACTACTTCCTGTCCGCAAGGAAAGAAAAAATGTAGGTGTTGGATCTGCAATGAAGAAGGACACTACGCCAATGAATGTCCAAATAGAAAGAAATACCCTGACAAAGTCAAGGTTTTACAAACCGCTAACAATGGGGGCTATGAAGCTCTTGAAGAAGAGTATGATGGTACACAACATGTTTTTATATATCATGTTGAGACAGAATCTTCATCAGACACTGATGAATACGAATCAACAACGGATGACTCAGACTAGTCCCATACAGACCCCACTTTTCAGGGAGGAGGAGATTAACCATTTTTGCGCAAATTTAGTATTTCAATCACACATTCATGATAATGGAATCATCAAGACACTACGATCCAACTTTTTGTTTTGGTTCCTAATCGGTTTTATACACACCTTTGCATTGTATTGGCTTTGGTATTTAGGTAAAACGCCTAATTCCCAACGTGGTTTTTTGCAATATAATTTCTTATGATTCTTCTTTTTTGTTTTTGCTCCGGACCTAAAAAAATGTATTGGACGGCCTTGCGAAAACCAAACCATTATAAAAATTCAATAAACTGAAATATATTTACAGATAATAATAATAATAATAATAATAATAATAATAATAATAATAATAATATTATTATTAATAGAAGATGATAATACAACAATAATAGCTTTTACTAAACGGTCCATGCGGTTTTCTAAAATTGCATGAGTCGTTCCTATTTTTTTTTCTTGATGATTATAGTCCCTATGATTTTAAAAGGGTGTGGTTATTCCTTACCTATGTAAAATAACTTTTATATCATCATAATTACATTTTATCTTTTTTATTTAATTAAAATTTATATTATTATTAAATTAGAATTAACCCCATCATATCCACACCACACTTCTCATTACTTGTTCTTATTTTTGCTATCAAAAGATAATGAACAAACCCATCGATTATATCAAAAAAACATGTGACTTACTCAAATCCACCTTGGTATAAATTGAAACCAACATAAATATAAACACCCTAGGAAATGTAAAGCCACAAAAGTACAAAACATTTAAAGTTCAAACAAATGTGTATTTATAAGCCATGAAACTTTAGAGACGTATGAATTGATTAGAGATTATCTCATAAATAGATGTTTATGCAAAACCACCCAAACGATTTTTGGTTACACTATCCTCGTGAATAGAAAAAATTAGAACCCCATCTAGCACAACAAAATAACCGAATAAAATATCCAAGATCCTGAAATTGGTTTAAAAAAAAAAAAAAAAAAATACAGTTTTCCATGGAAAAATGATACACAAAATGAACCAAAAATCTTGTTTTTAAGTCTCTAATCTTTCCAAGCATCTTTGTTAACTCGTCTTGAAGAAACACCAGCAGAAGATATGCTTGGAGTAAGAGGCATTGTGGAAGGGGTATTTGGTGCTTCAACATCATCCCAATCATCACTCCAATTATCATTCCATCCATCTTTTTGGTTTTGGTCAAAATCCATCTTGGGCCCACCTGAAACCGGAAGCCCAGCATCCAATTTTTGATATTTTGCTGCTGCACCATTGTTCATCATTAATAATCTTCTTCTTTGATACGTCACACACCCCATGACAGATACTATCACCACCACAAAAGCTAATGATATGACTCCAACAAATGGTATCCGTTTGAACAGATTGTTGAAACTCAACTGCCACATGTAGTTTGACTTTTTCATGGGGTTATGTGTAAGGAAATCCATAAAGTCAAGATTGCAACTGCCTTTATCGGTTTTTAGTGTTATAAATTTTTCGGTTTTCCCATCTCCTATAGAAACCATAACCTGCAAAAGTAAAGATTCTTGAGTTATGTTTTCATTAAAAAGTGCAAAATGGACTTGTTTTTAGTTTACCTTTTGGTCATCATTTTCTTGGATTTTAACTTTTGCTTTATCTAGGCGAACAAATTCAGGAGCAGTAATATCCACTTCAAGTAACCCCTTTCCCTTGTTCTGGATTAAAAGGGAAACTTCTGTAGACTCTGGAAGAAGATAACATAACAACAAGATAACAGTAAAAATAAAATAAAAAATTAAAATATGATATGAAGAAACAGTACGATAGTAATACATACCATCTCCAGGAACACTTAAACAAGCAACCATTCCATGATTCTTATCATCATTACTAATTGTGCACTTGAAAGATGAATCACATTGCCCTATCCTCATGGATGCCAAATTATCCTCTTTAGCCACCTTCTTGAATTCTTCTTCCCCTTTAGATGCTTTAGTTTTCTTATCAACATCTTCTACCACATCCTTATCTTTAGAATCCTTTTGCACATTACCTGCTTCTTTATCCTCTAATGGCTTACTTGGAACACTCTTAATCTTAGCCTTATCAGCTGTCGGATTTTGAATATCATTTGAGACTTTGGGCTTCTCCAATGGATCTGCTTGCTTAGATTCTAGATTAGAGCCTGAAGCGCTTGATTTCTCATTCAGACTAACTTTTGGTTTTGGGTTTGATGTTGTTGTTGTTGTTGTTGTTGTTGTTTCAGAACCTAAACCATCATTTGGATTCTTCTTCACCTACATCACAGTTTTAGCTCAATTAAGCTAATACTTCAAGAAAAGTTACTCCCTACATCCATGTCGATTAAGATATAACTATATAAGTACTAATTAATATGTCATATTTAATGTTCTTTATAGTTAATATGATCCATTGATAAGTCACAAACTCATCCTTAAGCACATTGATGGATAAAGTACCTTCAAATTTCGATATAAGCTGAATGAATCAACTATTAATTTCATATATGGTTTCTTTCCATATAACTAAGCAAAATAAACAAAACTTTAACGAATGATTACCACGGGATCGGGGTCATCGCAGTGAACTACGACTGATATAAGAAACAGAGCAACCAAAAACGTCAAATTTAACTTCATCTTCGCATATTCCTACAAAAAAAAACCCGCATCATTCACACTGTAATTACATAAAACAAAGGATTATCTAAATCAAAAAATTAAACATCAACTCAATGTTCAAAATAGAAAAGTACAGTAGAAGGAATCAAACCCTGCAGATGAAAATAGTATGTGCAGATTTAGGGCTCGAACAGGAACCCACTTGGCGTGTGTCTCCACATTGATTTCTTCAGCAGAAGTGAAATGGATGGAGAATTTGTTGACTCGAAAAGTCAATGTAGTGACACGGATTTTGGATTTATGGATATAAAGATCATGGGCTTAGCCCATTCAAGACAAAATATTTTGCAGCCCATTTGCTTCAGGTGTTTGTATTTTTGAATTTGAATTTGACACGCGATTATGTCTATTAATAAATATCATAAATAGTAGAAAGAGAAATTTTTTTAACTTAAATATATAATTTCATTTATCAAATATCATTTAGATTTACCGTTAGGACACATATAAATATGAGAAAGATTCATATTAGACTAGCAAAAAAAACAGCATTAGATAAGAAGGATGAGTTTTCAAACGAAAAAATATTATCTTTTCTTGAAATCTTTTACACCGAAATTAGTGATGTTTTTGTTGATATAACACAACATGTTTTACAATATTTATATTAATAAACTAGGTGTAAAACTCATATATCATACGAGTTGATTAAAAATATGAAATATTAAAATTTATATAATAAGTATTTTTTTAAATAAAATTTGAAATTAATAATGAAGAAAATATTAATTATAATTTGCTATAATATTTATTACATTTAATACTTTACATATATAAGTAAAAGTATTACATGCCTTTTTAATATTAAAAATTAAAAAACCCATAAATTGACATGTGGATATTATTTATTTAAAAAATATCACAAAATGATAAATGTCAAATCTCATGAGAGATTGAGGATATCAAAAAGTCTTATGGGACCCCGTTCCCGTTTGAGGGAAATTTCTAAAAAAACGGGGGTGGGGGGAAGGTTATCCCCCGTTATAATTTCGGGAGCGGGGGCGGGGGTAGGCAATCTCGTCCCGAAACCCCAATGGAGACCTTGTTAACAAATTACACATATATTTATATATATTAATTATATAAATATAATAAACAATAACATGATTTTGAGCTTCCAAAATTCATCAAAAAAATATTTTTTAAGGTGTTAGTATAATGTTTTTAAGATATCATAATTTTTTTATTTTTAACATGTAAAATTCTGTTATAAATAATTATTTGTTACCTAAAAAATAGTTTCTTTTAACCTAAATTACAACTTCTTTTAGCCCAAAAAAAAGACAGCCCAAAATTAATCGGGGGCGGGGGTAATAAAGGGGATTTGGGGGCGGGGGCGGGGGTAGGAAGGCTGAACATTTCGGGCGGGGCGCGGGGGCGGGGGAACGGGGAAAACTCGAGGGCGGGGGCGGAGAATGCACTCCCCGTCCCGTTTGCCCCCGTTGACATCCCTATGAGAGATTGACCTGTGGCAAAATTGATCTTCATTTATTATAGTAGATAAGTCATGTGATTAATAATTATACCTTAAAATATATAAATGTCTTTTTTCCATAAAAACAGTAAATTTATATTTTATTGTAAAAATGACCACTTAATCCGGAACAGTAATTACGGAGGTACCTCCAATATACTAGAGTAGAAAAAACAACAAAAAAGGTATATCATCTACAGAATAGACCCTAGACTTGAGACGAATGCCACACATGACCTTAAACAAATTCAGAATTCATAAGTACAGTTTGTTCCATAAACATCAAATGAATACAAACATCATCCCAAACATTGAGAACCAAGGAAAAGAGCACGAATTACATATTGGGAGTGTTGGATTGAGGTGTCTAAGTCATTAACTAAAATTGATATATTCTTGAATTATAAGCAAAGTTCTTTTTCACAACTAGTATTTAGATAGAATGACTTTTGGAGAAAGAGGCTGAATTTATTTATTATATGATTAATAAATTGAAATAAATATTTTATTAATATACTATATAATTAGTATATTAATAATAAATAATGATAATTAATTTGGAATTAATCAAAAATTAATAGGAATTAATTTTAAGATTAACTTAATTAATTAAAAATGTCGGTGTTGTTTGGTTTTTATTGAAAGTTGAAGCAGGAAAGCTCTAGAACCCCATGGGATGGGTTGGACGAAATTTGGCTAGGATAACCTAGAAATTTCGTTCATAGAGCCTAGGATAAGGAGACAATGTAGCTTGATTATTATATTAATTAGTTTAGGTCCTATCCTGAAAACCATAGCTTTGGCCTTAAGTTTCCTTCAGCTATATAAAGACCTCCCTGGATCTCATTATTTTCGTCCACTTCTTTGATCCTTTTTAGAGCCCAAATTTGCTCAAGCCACCTCTATCCTTAACTCTTCTTGCTACTAGGATTTTGGGTACAAGCCATTAGAGGCATCCATTCCTTTGGTGCTATCTTTCTAAGATTTTAAAGAAGGATTCTACTTTGATTATTTGCAATAATAATCAAAATGTATGTAACCCTAATTTATTATGAATTTCGATTCCATAGCCTATCTCTTAGGGTTTATTGATATTCATAGTTATTTGTTATCAACAGAGAAAACATATATATTTTCTAAGTTGCATGTGAACTTAAGGGTTTGATTGTTTTTCTGCCACATCCAAAAACTTTATAACCAAGAAAACCCATCAATGGTATCAGAGCCCAGATTTCTATTTGACTGTGCATTAAATTGAATTGATCAAAATTAGGGTGTATGGAAATTAAACCCTAATGGCTCAAGATTTTGATAATGACATGGGTTCTTGAAACCATAACCTCCACCTATATTTTCGAAAATAAGGAGGATACCTTAGGGTTTCTTTTTTCCTTAATTACAATTTGAAATGCCTTAAAATCAGGATAATCAAAACTTGGTAACCCTTACCCTTTTTTTCGAAAATTAGAAGGAAGGGATTAGAATTAAATTTGAATGATTTAATTATTTGTTTAATTGGTAAATAATTATTTAATTCACGTTATTTAATTAAATGTTTAATTGGTAGATAGTATGATTTAAATTTGTTTAATTAAGACAAAAGATTAAATCATCATTTAGTGTAAAATTAATTAATTATTAATTGATTAATTCGAAAATTAATTTTAAACCTAGTATTTTGAAAAGTTTTAAATACACCTTATACTATATATGATTAAATATTTAATATATTATGTATAAGACAAGTTAGTGAAATCGCTAGTACACTTTATTCACGAAGCCATACTATAAGTGGGCATAAGGAAGTCGCCTATAAAATGGTCGATGAATAGGTGTCCACTCTCACCCATCGCTCCCTTGTATGATGGAGGGTCGTTAGCCTAATTGATTTGATATGATATAATCTCTTAAAAGTATGATGTTATTAAAGTACTAGAACCTTTTGAATAAATCCCAACTCTAGTTACTTTAGGACAAAAATGTGAAGTGTATGCTAGGCCATGAAAAAGCACATCACTCTTTATAATTCGTTAGTAGTGTGTGTGTGGTTAACCGACACACTAATTTGGGACTATAAAGTTGAGTGATGGACAAATCAAAAATTATCATTGTTAATGGAGCATGTGTGGTTTACCAGCACATTAGTTTGAGATGCTAAATGACATCGAGGTTGTCAAGTAGTTTTGCATGGCTATTCACATCTTATTTGTGATCCTCAACATCCCAATCACAAATTTGAAGATCATAATCTAAGATTCAATGAATCTTAAATGATCTAGGAATTTCATGCTAGATTGAAATTGGTAAATTGGTGCTACCTACCTTGATAAATTCGCAATTAGATTATGGTATCCTATTTCTTTTTTGTGAATTGTATTTTGGATCTTAGCCTTGAATATTTATTTTGGGTTAAAATATTAAGGATTAATATCACTAACTAAAAATTATGTCTCTTTATATAGATGTATGGAAATAGTGATCTCACTACTACTCAAATCGGCTCCTCCAACTCAAACTTCTCTTTACTCTCGATTTTGTCGAAAGAGAAGCTCATCGGTCCCAACTACATGGATTGGATGAGGAAATTGAAGATGACTCTTCATTATGAGAGCAAGAAATATGTCATTGAAAAGCCTCTTGTCCAAATCGATGAATCCGATGTTACTCCTGATGAGATTGCCTCCTTCAACAAACATTTTGATGATGCCACAAAGGTTGCTTGCATCATGGCGGCCACTAGGGCACCTGAACTAGCCAAGTCCTATGAGGACTACCAGCCATACGAAATAGCTCTCAACCTTGCTGGAAAATTACACAAGAAGGTGAGACAAGAGTGATTTGAAGTGGTCAAAGCTTTCATTGTGTGCAAGCTCAAGGAAAGAGAACTTATTTTCCCTCACGTATAAGAGATGTAATGGTATGTGGAGCAACTCAATAATCTCAATGTGTTGTTTGATGATGAGTTCACCATTAATATGGTCTTTAACTCATTACCTCCTAATTATAATCAGTTCGTTTTGATCTATCATCTGAACAATATGGAGATGAAATTGGTCGAGCTTCATAAATTGTTACAAACTACTGAACCGGGGATGAAGAAAAATCATGCCTCCACTACAACAAATACTCATGTCCTAGCTATTGGATCAGAAAAAGGGAAGAAAAGGAAGCTCCTTCCCAATCTGGCAGGAAAGGGAAGGTCCATACTGGAGGGTCTAGTAGTGGGTCAAAGTCGAAGCCCAACTTTGATGTCCCCGCGGTCAGTGATGTAAAGGAGGTCACTTGCTTCCATTATGGTGAAAAGGGACATTAGAGAAGAAGCCGACCTAAGTACCTACAGGACATGAAGGATGGCAAGATCATGGCATCCTCTTCAGGTATTTACACTATTCAAGTCAATAACATATAACTTTCTCATCCTTGGGTCCTTCATACAAGATGTGGCTTCCACATTTGTTCTGATTTGCAGGGACTAAACGAAAGTGGGCAAGTGGAGCATGGGAAGCTCAATCTGATCATGGGGAATAGGTGATCTTCACCTATTACCAAGATTAGGATATATGGGCTTATGCATAGTAGTGGTGTTAGGGTTAATTTGATTAACTATTGTTATTCGTCAGATATGACATGAAAACATTGTTTCATTTCATGCATTGTTCAGACAAGGTTTTTGATACTATTTCTACTTATCATAATGGTGTTTTATGTTTGAAGTTTTACCTTGTAATGGTGTGTATGAAACTGTTTGATTCGTCCATTGGTGTGGACAAAGAATGTTTGTGGCATTATTGTCTTGGGGACATAAACAAGAAACGTGTCGCCCAACTCTAAAAGGATGGAGTGTTGGAATCATGTGATCTTAGGATAGATGATGAATGTGAATCTTGTATCTTGGGCAAGATGAAAAAATCACCATTCACTGGAACATGTGAAAGAGGTGAGGGATTGTTGGACCTGATCTATATTGATGTTTGTGTCTCATTTAGATCCACCACAATAGATGCTAATCGATACTACGTGAAATTTACGGATGATTATAACATATATGGCTATATTCACATAATCAAACATAAATCAGAAACCTTTGAGAAGTTCAAAGAGTTTAAGCACAAGGTCGAGAATCAATTAGGGAGGAATATAAAGATGCTAAGATCGGACAGAGGTGGTGAGTATCTTAGTATCGAGTTCAGCGACCATCTTAAGGAATGTGGAATTTTTTCACAATTGATTCCTCCCAGAACAATGCAACTTAATAGTGTGGCTGAGAGGCGTAATCGAACCTTACTAGACATGTTTTTTTTCCATGATGAATCGAGCTTCTCTTCCTATTCATTTATGGGGGTATGCCTTTGAGACAGACGCTCACATCGTGAATATTGTTCAACAAAGAAGGTTGCCAAAATACCTCATGAGATATGGATACGGAAAGCTCCCTCGCTCGTACATGTCAAGGTCTAGGGTTGTGAAGCACTCGTAAGACGAGAGACGCTTGGCAAACTTGAACCTAGAACCGAGAAGTATTATTTCATTAGGTACCCACAGAAGTCATTTGGATACTTTTTTTGCAAGCCTAGTGATAACGTGGTCTTTGTAGCTCGAAGAGGAGTCTTTCGTGAGAGAGAGCTCATATTCAAAAAGGAAAGTGGGAGCACTATTGATCTTGGAGAAATTCAAGAGTCATCCAATGAAGGAAACACATACAACACTAGCACTCAACATGAGGAAGAGGTTCCAGTTGTGCCAATTGACAACTCATTACCCTTCTTCGTTTTAGTAGGATTAGCATGCCACCTGATTTCTATCGTTTTCGTATTAGTGTAGATGGTGACACGTTTGTCAGTGATCATACATTAGTAAATTTAGATGAACCAGCTAACTACAAGGAAGCAATGATAGAACCTGAGGCTGCTAAATGGAACGAGGCAATGGACAGTGAGATTCAATCCATGTATGATAACCAAGTATGGAACTTGGTTTATCATATACCTGGTCGAAATACATTCGGGTGCAAACGGATCTTCAAGAAGAAGACTGACATGGATGGGAAAGTGCACACTTATAAAGTTGGGTTGGTTGCAAAGGGCTTTACTCAAAGCCAAGGGATTGGCTATGATGAGACATTTTCTCTAGTAGCTAAGATAGAATCTATCAGGATATGCTTGTTATAGCTGCGTTTCTTGATTATGAAATTTGGAAGATGGATGTTAAAACCGATTTCCTTAATGGAAAGGTTAAATATCTCATAGCTGGCCGAACGACCCCCGCAAAACTCATCCATGAAATGTTCACCAACCCCGCAACACTCGTGTATGCTAGTCATACATAACGTTGGGCCCTATAGACTTTCGAATATCTTATCCTACCCTAAGCCCTTTATCAAACAAGACAGGAAATAAGGTCAAACCCAAACATTCTCAGACTATAAAATCTTAATTATGTACAACTATGATGCATTCACTAAGCAACCACAATAATGATGTCAATTTCATATAAGGAAAACCCTAGGCTATCACGCATCATATAATCAGGCAATTCTATCATGCAATTCCTGAAGATCCCTAGCGTATCACTAGCATGTTGTTCTAACATATCACCGTATCAAACAATTGCATGGTATTTTAGGGTCTACTTGTTGGCTCCGGCTGATCGTACACTCTGCATGCTCCGTTCGTATTTTGAAAATCCTTTCCTTAGTTTGAGACTGGATTCACGCGAGTGTTCCTCCAATTCACTCAAACTAAGGCTCTGATACCAACTTTTAACATCCATAAAAATTCACAAAAATTTAAAACTTTTCAAAATCAACCCAAGTTCATAAATTGTTTGCAAAATCATCCAAACCCAGTAATGTTCACAAATTGTTTTCAAACTAAATCAATATAAGAGTTTTCCTATAAATCACAATCATAAAATGTGGAAGTGTACGGTCGCGGCTTCGCCTTTCCGCGGTCATCCAAAGTACCTGAAACAAAATCCAAAACTGTAAGTCCAAAGCTTAGTGAGTTCCCCTAAAATACCCGCACACAATAACACACATATAATAACAGCATACTATGGGCCCAATCAACCATAGGGTTGGAATAAGCCATACCCTCAACCATCAGGTTGGAATACCAACATACTATGGGTCCAATCATCCTCGGGATGGTATAGCCTCGTCCCACAACCATCGGGATGGAACGCCCACATACTATGAGTCCAATCATCCTCGAGATGGAATACTCTCAGTCCATAACCATCTGGTTGGAATGCCCTGGTATGTTGGCTCTCTCATAAAGTATATAAGCCTTAACAACCAATCAATCATGTGAACATATATCAGATAATCAGATAACAGTCTACAGCTAGACAAAGCAATCTACAGATCACTAAACATAGCAACATCCTATCTACCAGGATGTTGATCTAACTACTCATAACCACATAGAACTACCCTATCTACCAGGATACCGATCTAACAGATCACACTAACAATAAAGAGGATAACAATCCAAAGGGCCGACCTTGGGTGCCTTCGACCCTTGAGTATAATGAGGAAAACTCACCTCATAATGTCGATCAGAACTGAAATATCAAACTCCTGAAACACAACTCCAAACACCAACACCTACAACCACCATTGATCCAATTCCACAAATTCCTAAATTCCAAAATACCCTCAGAATTCAAACTGATCAACCCTTGGTCAAAGTCAAAGCCAATCCGTCAAGGTCAATGGTCCATGTTGACCCAACTCGTCGAGTGCAGCTTACAGACTCATCGAGTTCCTTCAAAACTCATAAAGTTGCAAAAACCCCAGTCAACTCACCGAGTTACCAAGTAACTCGTCGAGTCCATGCAACATCCATAATATCGGGAAAACCTTAACCAACTTGTCATGTCACCTTGATAAATCGCCGAGTTCATGCATAATCCAGAAAGTGGGAAACCCTAATCCAACTTGTCGAGTTGACTATGCAACTTGTCGAGTTTCTTTAGCGATTTTGCATTCAGCTCATTCTCGTCGAGCTCATAGCTCGAAACTCCAGATCTGGCTTCCTAGGGTGAAGTTACCACGTAAAGTTGCTAACTTTACGTGCATGCAAGGTCTTAAAAGGATTAAAACACTAAAACTAAGTTTAGGGCATGGAGAAGGGCCAAAGCTTCATAAATCTTGAGGATTTATGTCAAAGAGGGCCAAGAGGAGTCCAGATCTAAAGCCATGTCCTTGTGACAAGCTCAAACCTAAGAATGACTCCTATTATGCACCAAAATGCCCATAAACTTGCATAAGAAGAGATCTAAGAAATGGAAAGCCAAGGTAAAGACTTTTTACCTCCGAATGGATGCCAAAACAAAGTAAATGCTAGATCCACAAGCTTCTCCTTGTTCCAAGCCTCTAAATCTTCAAGCCTCTTCACAAATGCACCAAAACACACACTTTAGCCTCACACACACTCAAAATGAAGGTTAGCTTAATTAGGGTTTCTCACTGGACGTGAAAGGTGGTAAGGAGGTTGGAAGGGAGGACATAAGGTCCTTTAAATAGGGTACAAACCCTTAAAATTAGGGTTTTCATGCACAGCCTCTACTCATCGAGTTGGGTCCTCCAACTCGTCGATTAGGTTCTAGAATCCACACAGCTTTATTAGTTTCTACACAATGAGTTGGGGCAACCAACTCGTCGAGTAGGTCCAGAATTATGATATAAAAGCTTTAAATAAATGCATGGGATTCGGGATATTACATTGATAATGATCCATGTATCATGTCCATATGATATCTTGAAGAACGAAGGAATAGATGATCACTTATCTAAGGGTCAATAGTTTATTTGAAGCAGAGTTTGGTTGTGGCTTTGGAAAGCACTCTTTGTTGTTTATTTCAAGGTCTATACTCACAATTGTAGTTACATACTTATCCAAGTGAGAGACCGTTTGATTAAGGTGTTTAAGCCAATAACTAAAATTGGTATATTCTTGAATCAGAAGCAAATTCCTTTTTGGGTTACCCTCAAAACTAGTATATGGATAGAATAACTTTTAGAGGAAAATGTTGAATTGCTAATTTATAATATGATTAATAAATTGGAATAAATAGTTTATTAATATATTATATGATTATTATATTAATAAGAAATATTGATAATTAATTTGGAATTAATCAAATTTTAATTGGAATTAATTTTAGGATTAATTGAATTAATTAAAATTTAGGGTCTATTTGGTTATTTATTGAAAGTTGAAACAGGAAAGCTCTAGAACCCCATGGAATGGGGGTGGACAATATTTGGCTAAGATAACCAAGAAATTTCGTTCATAGGGCTTAGGATAAGGAGATAAGGCAACTTAAGTATTATATTAATTACTTTGGGTATTATCCTGAAAACCCTAGCTTTGGCCTCAAGTTTCCTTCAGCTATATAAAGACCTCATTGGCTCTCATTATTTTGATCCACTCCTTTGAGCCTTTTTAGAGCCAAATTTTTCTCAACCCTCCTCTATCCTCAAGTCTTCTTGCTACTAGGGTTTTGGGTACAAGACATTAGAGGCACCATGCACTTGGTGCTAGCTTTCCAAGATTTTGAAGAAGGATTCTACTTTGATTATTTACAATAATAATCAAATGGTATGTAATGCTCATTTTGTACGAGTTTCGATTTTATAGCCTCTCTTAGGGTTTCTTGACATTTATAGTTAGATGTTATTAATAGAGAAAACATAGGTCCTTCCTAGGTGGCATGTGAACTTAAGGGTTTAAGTGTTTTTTCGTCACATGTAAAATATTTATAACCTAGTAAACCCATCAAGGAGGAGTGAAGGAAGGCCAAACCCAAAAGTGCTACCCTCAGGGAATTCTTCTTCAACATCTGGGTCGTTACATTGTTGGCGAAGATCCTTAATGTCAAGCTCGCCAAGGCGGAGGTAAGAGGCAAAATTTATCTCAAGAAAAGACTTCACCTTAGCATGCATCGCTTGGGTGTATTCCAGAAGGGCAATCAATTTACCAGGTATGAACTTTATGGTGGCAATCTGCTCTCTAATCACCTGTTTCCCACCCTCTACCTTAGCATCCGTGCACGCTGCCTTCATATGCCTAACGCCCAAAGAAAATTTGGCACTCTCAAACACTTTTTCCACAACACAAACAATGCCCTTCTTCAGGAGCCACACCATATCCTCCTTCACCGCCATTCTCCATATCTCATCTGCCTCTAACCGGATCCTTTCTATCTCCACCTGAGTCTCCACGCCTTCTTCTCTTCCAACAAAGTCTCAATCTGCTTTGAAAAACGATCCACTGCCCCATCTAAAGTTCCCACCTACTCCTCCAAAGGAATTTTATCCCCACCCAACATATCAGAACGCCTATCGAATACACATCCCCCCTCCAAATCCAACAACATCACCCTCAAATCATCTCATTCAGTGTGACATCCCCATTTTCACGGCCAGAAAAGACCGATTTTTGTTTATGTTTTATAAAAATCAGAGTACTTCTTTTAATAAAAATGTTGCGGAATTTGTTCCTAGAAAAACATGATAAATACGTTTTTAAAACATTTTCGAAGAAACGTATTTTGTTCATTTTAAAACATTTGGGATGTCATTGTTAATACAGAAACATAAGCATAAACAGAACTTACATTTATTTACACTAGTGATCTACATCTCTTTAAATCTCTCAGTGTAATGTGACTTCATATCAACACCTGTGATATAAATAAACTGAGTGGGTCAGGTTGGGAAACCTGGTGAGTACATAGGGTTTTCAACCCACAATAATATAATTATTATTTTCAAACAATCAAACAATCAACCCAATTACTCATCCCTATTATCTGCTTTATTCTTAAGGATCTACCCTAAGAATCAACTATTCCTCGTTCATACATTCCTAAGGATCATCCTAAGGAATCGGCACGAAGTCCATCGTCACCGGGGTTTAGGCACTAAGTCTGCATAGTCGCCAGAATTTATACAATAGGCACTAAGTCTGCATAGTCGCCAAGGTTTTGGCACCAAGTCTGCATGATCGCCAGGGTCTAGGTATCAAGTCTGCATGATCACCAAGGTTTAGAGTACACCGGGTGAACACATCGTTCACAACACCTACAGGTTGCGAGCCTGCTAGTGTTCCACTGGACTATCTAGGATAGTCCGTGGTTGTCATCCATACTCTGCTGAATGACGGGGACATCGTTTGGGAAAAAGGCTTCTCACATCGTACACCTCTCACCCACACCTTATAGTCTATATCACCTCTCAACTCATCATCCAACTCATATTTCATCTATTATATCTACCCATGTTTTACCCCAACATTTTCGTAGATATAAAATACATATATAGTTTAAATCATTTAAAACATGTATAAAATCTTTCACTCAGCATAGACAAAGTATTCAGACAATATGCACACATAGCACGTAATTTATATTAAAATACTTCATATCTATGTGTAAGATGAAAGGGACTATGCACTCACCTGAGAAGGTGGTGACTCGGTACTCGGACAGCGCTTCGTTTACTTTAAAATAATTTCCTTTGACGAAACCTAGTATTATCACCACTAGATTTAGTCTAATATTACCGTGACTAATTATTAGTCTTATTATTATTATTATTATTATTATTATTATTATTATTATTATTATTATTATTATATAAGCGTTTAAACAATACTTTCCAACTACTATGTACAGACAGGGGCCAGACATAAAACACCGGAGGGCAGGACCATTTTGGCGTATAGCACTTCTGAAATCCAACAACCCTATGCGGCCCTTTAAACCAGATTCCCGTACCACGAGTAGTTAAAAGATATTATAACGACATTATATAAGTCATAATAATAGCTCAAATATTTATTATAAATTTATAATAACAATACTAATTTTAAATATAAACTATATTTAAAATAGGGTAAGCATAACTTACTTTCAAGGGGATTTTAGCTAGGAGTCGGGCTCTGCAGGGGCAGAACTTCGTCGCTGAATCTTTCTAAGAAAGATTCGTGCAGCGCTTCAGCGCTCACCTTACTATACTAAAACTACAGAAAGAGAAGTCGAATCACGAGGGACCGAAATGCTCGGGGGATAAGGAGAGAAAGACTCTTGAATCAAGAGAATGGTGCAAGAAATATGAGAGCCCAAGGCTCTTATTTATACTAATTGAATTTTCAAAAACTACCCTCCATAATTACTTAATGACCTTTTAGTTATATAAACAACTAAACACCCCTCTATAATACTATTTTAAATGGATTTAATGATATTTGTACTAAACTAATGTCGAAAGAACTCAACATTAGTCTTATAATGACCGCATCGTCGATACCTTTCTAATGATATATACATATGTATATATATATATATATATATATATATATATATATATATATATATACGTATACATGATTTATACTTTATTTTAATACGTAAATATGCTATTATAATTTGTAACTCGTTCATACGAACTCCGTTTTTGACGTTCTTTATATCCACGCGTAGGTGGAGACGTACTCTACAACTTTCGTTTAGACTCCGTCGGCTAATTTTGACTTTATTTTTAAAGTTATATTTTTAACAGGCCGGGACAGGATTGGTCCGTTAAAATCTCATAACTTCTTTATCCGATGTCCATTTTTGTCTGTATTTTTATCGTTACGCTAATAATAACGACATCTTCGATTCTTATTTAGGTTGTGTCGGCTAAAAATCAATCGATCTAAAATTCGAATTTCGGGTTGTACACCGCTAATCCGAAACTTCGAAAAATCATAACTTCTTCATACGAAGTCAGATTTGGGCGTTCTTTTTATCGATGTTCTTAGTTTAACATATTCTACGACTTTCGTTTAGAGTGCTAAGGCTAAATCTCTCTCTATCATAAATTTACTATTTTACGCTTCCCAACGCCGTGCCGGTTCCGACGCGAAACTTCGACGGGTCATAACTTCTTCGTTATAACTCGGATTTCAGCGTTCTTTATATGTATGGAAACCTTGTGACATATTCTACAACTTGGTTAAGATGATTTATTCTAAATAATCTTTTTGTAGAAAAGTCGTTTTCGACCCCTATTGCCTCTAAATTGACTAGCCCGGATCTGCAAGCGTTACATTCAGATTCACAGAGAAAAGTTCACCAGAATCCAAACTAACCTAGTGTAAGTGTCGAGCAACAACAACCATATAGGGAGTAACTTGAGCTGCTACATATTGAAGGTTGTTGGACATATGAGAATTAGAAATAATCTCCAAAGCCTCAATAGTAGTTGGGGAAGGCATGGCAACCCCACTCGTACACAAAATAATGTTGCATTAGAAGGGAGGATTGATTAAGCCCCCATTCTAGAATGTAAACACATGGGGTCGCCGAACGAGTAGAGGGGAACTAACACCAACACCATCATTCATTAAAAGCAAAGCTGGATTAGGAACAACTTGAGAGCTATCATCGAAAACAAGACTGGAGACCCCCCCCCCCCTCGAGAGTAGTAGCGTCTTCAATTTCCTTCTTTGGTTCACAAGGTTGTTCCGCCGTCTCTTCATTTGTTCCCTCCAACAGTTTCTACGGGTCATCATCGATAACTTCCATAACTACGTCGGTCTCCCCTAACAGGAATTCCACATTTTGTATCTTAATAAGGTGTCGGCTAATTGAGCTAGCATTGGTGCCTTCTAAAATCGGGGACTCCAACCAGGACAATCATTGGTTAGAGCTCGAAAGGCGCTCTCTGGTCACCAACTCAGTCGATGGCTCGTCTTCATGATTAGAGGGCAAAGGATCATCGCAAGAAGCTCTTTCAAAAAATGCATCAACCAATACCCGGTAGGATCCAAAACCTTACATTGGAGCAGGCCTAGAAAGGGCCAGGGCACGGTCAGTGCTGACCGGTGGAGGAAGTACCTCCACTAATGACATTGTCACACCCCCAAACCGGAATGGCAAAAACGTTTGGGGGCGGAGGACATCATGTACAGTATCATATCAATGCATAGTAGTAAACATGAAACAACATCATCCATTGCATTAATAGCATAATTTAATACAAGTGTGTTATGTGTATAGTTTGAAAGACACCAAAATATAAATCAAAACAAAAGACGAGTCTGGAACACACTCCGTCTTCTTAAAACCTGGTCCAGTGTACCTGTCTACTGGTGACCTGAGAATACAAGTTATTTTGAAAGAGTGGATCAACATTTAAGCTGGTGAGTTCATAAGTATTTTAGTTTCAATGTTTGTAAAAGTTTGTTGAAAGTGTTTGTAAATATTTGTATCTCCTAGAAAATCCTATATTTTCTACTTGAAATGTAGCCTTCTACCAAGACCCGAATGTTTAGCATGTTGTTTGTTTGTAAAAGTGAGTGTTTTTCCCAAGTATGACTATCATTACCAAAATATAGTTTACATTTCCGTTTATGTGAGAAGATCACAATGTGAATGTAATGGGAAAATAAAGATGTAATGTAGTATTGTATATAGTAACTACCATTGTACTAACTACCTTAAACCAATTGTTTAATTAAGGTAAAATGTGATATGATTATATCCATACTTGATTGACTAGTAAAACACGATGATCAAAGACGTCGAAATGGTATGACATTCGTCACCCATAGAACTGCAGATCCCACTATAGCTGGCAGCAAGGTGTAGGATGTTCAATCCGGTATAGATCTATACACAAATTCACATTCTCCCTCCAGGAGACTCTGGTTACAAAACGTGACACAACAGTATGTTGCCATGCCATGAAGTAGTGGCTCACATTAATGTTATAGTATTCTTGTATTTGTATAGTATGTTCTATATGTTCTAGTGTATTGTATGTTCTCTATGTATAGTATGTTCCTCCCTGTTCCTCATTATAGTATGTTTGAACTGAAACATGTATGAACTGACTCATGTTTGTTTGATTTTACTAGAAATAATGAGTAGTAGTCCTCTAAACTATACCTATTGAAATTTACTAGTAATGTTGTTTGAATGACTGAGTATGTTTGTACACCTTTGCTACCCAAAGGTGTTGAACTAATGTAAGAACTTTTATATCTATACATATATACATAATATATACTTAAGATGCAAACAACACTCAAACAAAAACCAGATGCCCTAAGTCTACAAACAAACAAGGAACAGGAAATAAAGCGAGTTATTAGTCCTAAGCCCTCAATATTATTT